CTGCAGATCCCAATCCATTCTGAAACTGCAGCGTTCCCACGTTTGTTTGTGCAACACCAGGGCAGAACCTGTTTCTATCAGACAACCTGATTCAACCTTCATGCTTTTTGAAGAAGAGGGTGGTGATGATGTGCACATTTCTGAGAGAGATCTCCTCGGGTTCATTTTAAACATTCTACCTCACTTTCAGAAGAGATTTCAGCTTTGTTTCTGGCTTAGTCTGATGAGTGTGTAGCCCATGCCAGGGCAGACTCAATGCTTAGAGCACAGATTTCCAGCACCTTCTCTAGAGATCATCATTCCAGCATGATCAATATAGAATGGAACAAAAATGAGAAGCCAATAAGAGAGGTCAGACTTCATGGACCTGGTGAAAAAGGCCCAGAAAAAGAGCATAAAACCCTGTACCAGAGCATGAGATGGCATGGCAGGGACTAACCCTTCCTGGTGAATAAATATTTAAACTTTTACTAAACTACTAACCAGGCAGAACTGAAAGACCCTCACTTCCAAATGGATTACTGCATTTCTTTCTTATCTGGGGCACAGAAAATCAAATTTCAAAAGCCATTGCCAAAGTTTTGAAAGTCTAATATAATTTGATGAACACCAGTGGCTTTCTCAACAGCAGCTTAAATAAACGTGCAACACTTAGACATGATTTTGGAGATCTGAGGGAGGAACAAGATTTTTCTTTTTTACACTTGTAGCTCTTCCTCTGTACTTGCCTTATGTCTGAAGAGATTGAAACAGAGGGGGAAAATGTGGCTCAGGGAGTTATTTTTAAAAGAATTAAAAGTCCCTGTGTACAGTCACAGAAACAAACAAAGAAAAAAACGTGCAGAGACTTGAATTTCTTCTAAGAATCTCCTTTATTTCACAGGAGAAAGACCACATGATTTTTATGTTAATGTAAAGATAAATTAACAAGTAGAATAATTGAACAAAGCCATTAAACAAGACTAAACTTCCCGGGTACAATTTAACTTAACTCATGGTCATATTGGACCCTCTTGCTCATCTTCAGAGATTTAAAGGGTGGTTCTGGAGCTCAGAGGTGAAACAAAAGTAGCTTTTCAACACATCACCCCAAATTCAGAACTGAATTCTTCCTCTGCCACAAGGCAAATAGATGATTCTTCCAAGCTGGAGATGGAAGAGCCCTGAAAGAGACCTCAGTGCAGGATCAGCCCCAGCTAGCACAGGAACAAGCAGGGTGAGAGTGGAGGACATAAAATGAATGTGCAAGTAGGAAGGAAACACAGCACAGACTGGAGGCTTCTCTAGAGTTTTTGAGCTTTTAGGAAAAGAAATGTCTTCCATCACATCCTGTCTCTTGCTTTAGTGATTATTTTGCAACTTCCAAATTTTATTCAGCTGAAAAGGGAACAAGACTGTACTTTGCATGTGATGGTTCAATGTGCTAAACTGATTGGATGATACCCTGTGCCAGATTAGGGATCTCTCTGGTCCTTCTTGATTCTGTGGTCACAACCATGGACAAAAATGTAACAAAAAAGTAAAAGGAAGTTTGCAATAAGTAGCTATGGGCAAATCTGCCCACAAGAAATTTCTTTCTTCTCCCTAAAAGTCAAAGCCTCATTTGGACTCTGAAGTAATTCCTGTAATTTACACAACTCTTAATTATTTTCAATCCTTGCTGTAGTAATCATCCTCATAAACTGGATAAATGCACCTTTTGGAGGGTTCTCTTCTTCCTGGTAATGTTTTGTGGCAATTAATTTAAGATCTAGACAGCTTCCAAGATGCCTTAATCAACAGCATAGCCTGTCCTCACCACAAAGCTCCTGGAATTTGTATGTGTTAAGTCCACACTCCAAGAATGCAGACAGGGGTCCACAGGAGGGGGCAAAAATGCCAGAATTTCCCATGGTAAATGTGATAAACACATGGCCCAGCTCCCTGGGCACCAGCTCCTGACACATTTGGGAAGAGAAGGTTTGAATCCAATCCTTACCCTGCTCCACTAGACACCCACCTGGGAGATGTGCTGTGCCCATCCCACCCGCCTGGGATGTCCTGGATGCCCTGCTGTGGGTGCCCATCTTCCAGCTGCCCCTGGAAAGGGATTCTGGCCACAGGGAAGTCCTTCAGGAAAGACTGAGGGATGAAGGAGGTGGAAACAGAACGACTGCAGGGATACTCCCTGCCTCTGCTGCTCTTGGGGAGAAGGGGCAAGGAGCCTGAACTGGGGTTTTTAACTCAGGGGAAGAGGTGGAACAAGTCTTAGGAGAATGTGGGAGGACCTGGGAAATAAAACCCATTATTGCTGCAGAGAACCAGAGATCCTTTGGTCAGCAAGGGATCATGCAACAAGCCAGGAATGAAATCATGGCTTGAGCAAGGACTTTGTGCCACCAACAGAATCCTGTGGGGAGCAGATGTGGAAAGGGGGGCTCAGCCTGGAGTTTTCACACTTAGGAGCACAGGCAGGGAGCCCAGCTAAAGAGCTGAGGGGGGAATGATTTATGAGGACACAGCTAAATGGCTAAACAACGAGTAAGAGCAGTCATAACAGTCTACAAATACCCACAGGAGTAAATGCCAAGGAGTGTGAGGAATTTTTGGAACAGCAAGATAAATTTGCCAAGACTAAGGTGCAGTGGCTTGTGACACACTTGGCCAAGCAGCTGAAATTTTTGTTGGTTGTGACTGGCTTGGGCAAAGGACAAGCAAAGGAAAGGCAAGGGACAAACCTGGGATGTACAACAGGTGAAAGGGATTATTCAACTCTGTTCCACGTTCAGGTGAGCTCCAGGTCCATCACCAGAGAAGTTACTGGCAATGTTCACCAAGGTACAGGAGTCAGAGCAGGATTTTGGAGCCCTCTTGTAGCTGCTTTTCCCCTTTTTCATGGTAGCAGCAATTACAAGTGTGATTTAATTGAGACAGTTTCAGGTTGATTGTACAAATGAAGAAGTCACACAGCTGCTGTTGCATAACAACCGAGCTAGAAAGACTGTCCATCCCAGCAGTGTCACTACAATTAATGTCCAATTTGCCATGGAAAAAGGATGAATGTTAAAATGGTACCTTTTCTCATGCCCACTTCACCCCCCGAAATAGCTCTTAACTAGACTTGAAGTTAGTTCTGTGCTGAGCACCTGCATGAGGGGTGAGATCCAGCACAAGGTCATGCTTCAGGGAGGGAAAGATTTCAGCAGGAGGCCTGGGGGATGTGCCTGATGCTCCACACGAGGGAAAAGAGCTGCTAGGGCTACACTGAGCAGGAATGCAAGGGAAAGGGAAGGAATGCAAAGCAAAAATCGACCAAACAAAAAGGACCTTTGAGTTTTGGTTCACAGCGTGGCATTGCAGCTGTGGCAGGGTCAGGAAAAAGAGACAGCAAGGTAGAAAGGGAGAATGGGATTGGCTCTGAATCCCTCAGATTGCAAAATTATTGCCTCAGTAAAGGAAATAAATAAAGGTAAAGGGGAGAAAAGAGCTCATGCACAGTCCTGAATTGTGGTGAGGGAGAGAGGAAAGGGATAAAATACAAGGCACAGCCACAGGAAACAAATGTAGCCCTAAGATACCTTCTATCTCCCTCTTTTCTGACAGATGTCCCATTCCCAGTCCCTGGGGATTCATTTGAGCACTCAGGAGGATAAAGCAGTTTCCTTACTTCTTCCTGCCTTGATTGAGACACTGGATCACTAACATGGAGTGTTGCTTAACTCAGGGCAGGAACCTACTTCTCACTTAGTCTTGAAAAACAATCCCAACCCTGGCATTCACTAAAGAGGAGCCACACAACTCCCATGGTGAGAAGGGGCTGAGAAAAACCCAGGGAAGCTGCAGGGGATTTATTTTGGCTGAGCATCTTTAGGTGGTCAGGGGATGGCTGTGAGGTTTCAATACAAGCACAGAATGAAACATTGCTAAAGTATCCCAAAGAGGAAAGATGGATTTCAGAACTATCTAACAACAAACTGTACTTTACCTCCCATTTTAAGGCTTGGAAAGAGCTGACCATCCTAAGGGACATTTCACTAAATATCAAAACAACATCTCAAAGCATTTTGGAGATTTAGGTGTTGATTAATAAGAGAGTCAAGTTTACAAGCCAAAGAAGCTGAGGAATTCTTTTTGCCAAAGGTTTACAAGTGGCAGGCAAAAAATTACTGAGGAAGAAAGGCCTTGTAATTAAATGCTTAACTTGAGATTCAGGTTCTTCTTCTCACCTTAATGTCTAAAACACAACAAGGGGTTCCTTATATTTTTATAAACACTGGATTCCTTACAGGGACAGGGTACAGTGTACAGTTCCCAGTCCTTGGCAATTGTCAGGCACCTACAGTTGGAAGAGCTGCCTGACTATTCAGAAATGTCATTCCTGTGGTAAATATTTCTAAGAAAATTCAGGTAGTGGCATGGTACCCAGAATTGTGCCAGGGACTGATTTTGAGTCTGTTGTGTTGTTTCCTTGCTGAGGAAGAAAAGCGTTTTTCACCTCCCAGACCTCTCTGGGGCTTTTTCTCTTCAAGGTTTTATAGAAAACTCCTGAGCAGAAAGCTAAAACAATTACCTGAACAGAGCCAAACAGCCTGTAAACTTTGACTCTCCCAAAGAAGCATTTTTTGATGGACAACAGTTTCCAATGCAGCAGACACCTTCTGCCCTTGAGTTTCATGCTGTGTTACAACACATCACACTGAAAACTCAGGTAGAAAACAAAAAAAGAAAACAATCCTTACAGTGAATCCTTTTCTGGATGTTTATGGCAACCCATAAAGTTGCTGAAACATGCCTGCTGTATTTTTAATTGTCATTTTAAATGCCAAAACCCAGAAGTCCTGCTCATATTGTACGTGAACACAGTGTCTGCTTATGTTCGAACCCTCAGGCACTTTAAATAACTCCGCTGTACACAGAGAACGTTGTTCACGTTGTTTTTACAATTTTTGCCCGTGTAGAAGGAGCTCTAAGGTCCTGAGAACATAAATGTACGTTCATGAGAAGGGCGAGATCGCAGCTGGAACCTGCCTGAGCCCTGGGTCACGTTTCAGCGGCGGCAGGGGCCGAAAACGCCGCTCATTTCTCAGCTCCATTTACAAGAGCTGCAAGTGGAACAGCACATAGCAGACTGACTGACGTAAGGCACAGGTGAGTGCATGGTACAGGTCCAGCTCTGTGCCTGATCCACAGGGAATACCAGCCTGTTCCAGCCAGACTTTAGAGCCATTACTGCTGTAGCCCTGGAGGAACCCGGGCTGAACCCTGGTGTGTTAGCAGAGGTGGCAGCTGCCATAACAGACTTCTGTGTGGGTTACAAATTTGGGGCATAAAATGAGGGTCTTTTTATTGATTCCAGTGAATTTCATACCAAGCCTCCATTGTTCTGCCCTAAAGAATAAACCATTAGAGAATTTATAAGCTAATTTGTTGGGGTTTTTTCTTTCAAAAATTAAACAGGAGCAGATCGTAATTTCCTTTAAATGCATCTATTATTCATGAGTATTCAGTGAGTTTTATTATGGGCTTAAAAACAACAGCATATATATCTTTATACTCAATTCCAATCTCCTACATGGGCTGTGAAACTCACATTTTATGTCTAGTTGTGATTGACCATGAAAGTCAGAGGGTAATAAGTGTTGCCTGAGTAAAGACACAGACAGGTATCTGGCCAATGTTCATTTTTCACATTAGTTTTCTGTAAATAATCTTACATGCAATTTTGCCACTTCCTCTCTGCAGGAATCTCTGGGAGTAGGTTAGCAAACTGTGGCTTGCAGAGGGCTGACACACAGTATTTATGAACAGAGAGGAAGTAAATTAATTTCAGCATTTGATTCCGCATTGGACAAAAGCTTTTTGCAGTGTTTAATCACAGTAACGAAGAGGTACAGTCCCTCCTCTAGCCCAGCCTTATTACCAGGAAAGGAAAATTGTGCTGAGTTAGGACTGAAAACAAGGGGTCAAAGAAAGAGACACTTAATTTCTCAGTGTCCATCCCATACTGCCAGTCTGTAACAGCTGCCACTGTTTGTAAAATGGGCACAAGAGGGATAGGTGGAGAAATGAAGGCACACACACAAGGTAACACCCTTTTTAAGCAACCACCACTTTTTGCAATGACCTGTGCAAGGGTCATTTGGGGTTTTCCTTCCCTTGGACTCTGGGTTTCCTGAGAGGAAGGAGAGTTGAAATACAGGAACCAGTGGCTGCACACCATTTCCAGGAGCATAGGAGACCTTCCTCATTGACAGAGGTTTAGGAACCACATCTGAATCTCCAAACTTCCTGGTGTTCTCCCTTTGAAAGGAGGGAAGACGGGGGAGGCGATGGGTGGAGAAGGTGAAGAGGTGGTTCTGTCTTTTGAAAGGCCCTGCAAACACAGCAAAACTGCTCCCAAACCCTCAAATCTACAGGGAAAATAGGTTGTGATACAAGTGGGAAAGACAAGGAGATGTTTCAGCTAACAAAACATGCTGGACTAGCAGCACACTTCTGCTTAAAAAGCTGTTTATAATGAACAACAATTACTTACAGTATCATTGTGAGATCATTAGAGGACTCAGACACTGAAGAGCATCTGGTTCATCTGGGTGAGACCTGGAAAACAGTGTCACAGATCAGCAAACACCAGCACTGCTGGATTTATTGTGAGGGCTGTTGGAAGGGGAGGAAATGTTCAAACTCTGACTGCTGAGCCACTCTGTGATCTAATCCTGGCCAGGGAGAAGAAAATCTGTCCTTCACTAGATCTGACAAGAGAAAATCTTCAACTCCCTGCATAAGAACAACAGTTTGGCTGGGTTGTGTTGCAGATCATTTTTCCTCTTTTCAAAGGGTTAATGGGACCCCAGAGATAATATATGGATTAAGCAGCTGTGTAGGTGCTCAGCAGATGAATCTAGGTTGATTTTTCACAAACTTAACCTATGCAGAGTGAGTCATAATTTGCACCTTGCGTCACTCAATAAATGGGTCTTTTAAAAGTCAACCCACTGTGAATGGGCTGTGAGCTCTCCAAAAGCAAGAATCCTGCTCTCCTGCCCACAGGAGGATCAAAAAAGCTTTTCTCCCCAGGTTACAGTGTGATGGCAATAATAGGGACCAAACAAACAACTCCATGTTTGTGGGTTTGCCACGTCGCTCTTTAAAGGTCAAAAGGTTTTTACTGAAACAACAGTTTTTGTTTCATGAAATATGAATTCTCAATCATAAATGTGTATTAATCTCATTGCTGCTCCTGCTGTGCCTTGCAATGCTGCTTCTTTGTTCAATTATGCCTCACATCAACTTTTTAATTAATACCTATGTTAGGAAAACCTTGAAAGTTTTGATAAATAACATCTGCTTTTGTGCATTTCAACCGTGCACTTCTGTGAGAAGGAAATGTTTCTATTTTGCAGTCATCCAGGGGAAAGAAAAGCAAGTAGAGAGGATGTCTACATGTTCACAGGGATCTCAGCACTGAGCAGACAGAATAATCATCTTTTGTTGAATACGAACCTAACGAAAAACAAATCCAACAATACCCTTTTGTTCTGAGCAAGAAAGGCAGGGCTTTAATAGTCTTTAAACGAGATAGAAAATTTCCATCCAAATGGAACCATGGAGTAGGTAGACACATTACAATGTTTTGGAGTTCAGTGATTAAATTTAATACTGTGCCAGGCAGTGATTAGTTGATGAAGGGCGTTCAAAACTAGAAGAGGAACAAGGGAATTATGGCTCCAGTTTAGCTCTGGGCCTCTTGAGCAGTTTGGTGTTCACCTTTCTACTTTAATAGCAGTGTCAAACAAAAAAAAAAATTGGTTTGATTTATTTCCTTAAGGAAACTCAGTGCAACTGTAAACACATAAAGCTTCAGCATTTGGGGCCAGATCCCAGAAAGGACCTGAGGTACCAACCAAAACACAGAAACACATCCTTTTCTTAGTACTTTTCCAGCTCCCCACCTCAATGCCTGCACTCAGGATGCTGGTACATGTGAATCCCATTAGCAGGCACTGAATTTTCCCAAATCACTGTGCAAGAGACCCCTAATTAATCTGAGTCCCAGCCTCAGAGCTGGGTGCCTATATCCTTTGTAGATCTTTGCCTTGGTGCATTAAACCCCCTGGTGAGCCCAATATGACACATTGTCCTTAACACTGCACAAAGATGACAAATCCCCCTGGGGAACAGGAGAATAAATGCCTTTTAACTTGGCTGTGATCTCTCCTAAGCCAGCCCAGCCCAGGCCATGAGCAGCTGCTGCTCTGGGAAGTCACAGCACGACCTGAGCCCAGTGGGTACAGGTAGATCAAGTCAGCTTCAGCAAAGAATTCATCAGCTTTGCAGAGGATGAGTAAGTTCAACTCCTAGGTTTCTCAAATGGAGAATTACCCCCTAAATTCTGACCAGAGACTTTTAAAGGAATTATATTTTTTACTTCAGTTTCTATTCTGTCTCCATATGGACTGTTCCATCACATCCCAGCACCTCAGTGCCTGAAGTCCTGGGTAAGACTCACATAAGTCTCACAAAATATAAGGAAAATTAAGCCGAGATCTTTGTGCTGCAGAAGACATGCCAGTTCTTTTCTTCTTCCTTTCCTGTCATCACCTGTTCCTACAGGCCAAGCAAAGGCCATCATCATTCTAATTTAAGCAAGTCCTCTTAAATTAATACCTATTTTGGCCCAGACCTGCTCTTTGCTGCATTAGTATAAATCTTTTGTCTTTGAATGGACTTTCTCCAACTATATTCTGGTCTAAGCAAGTTTAAAATCTTATTTTGGTGATAATTTGCAGGGTTATGCTAAAGGTCAGCATTGTGCAGGCCACAGATCTTGGTAAAATCATTGCTTCAAGGGGAAAAGAATTTACTGTTATGATTTACTATAATAGTAACATGATTTTTTTAAAAAAATGATAACTTGTAGATAATGTTTCAAGCTTCTCCTTGAAATTTTAAAATCCATCCATCAATTAACAATAATTAATCACCAAGCATAATAAGTGTTAAAAAAAAGTGTGGATATGGCACTTGAGGACATGTTAGTGATGAACAGGGTGGTGCTGCTGGGCTGACAGCTGGATTTGATGATCTCAGAGGTCTATTCCAACCTTAACAACTCTATGATTCTATGTTATGTGTGCTATGTTAGTTGCAGCTTTCATTACAAGAAAGTAAAACAAAAAAGTCTAGGAAAAACTGTGTTGGAGTCTATTTAACACTTCAAATGAATGCTTGTGTAAAGCTCCTCTCAGAATCTCCATCACAGGCAACTTCCCTGACTGCCAGAAGGCCTGGGAGCTTTTCCCATCAATGTGAGAAGCAAGAGATTTGCACCTTAAGAAAAATTTCCAACTTACTCTTCTCGTATTATTTGTGCTGCAGGTGGTGGTAAGACATAAATCCTGGAAGCTCTCTCCACAATGGTCAAACGCCAAGAAATGGAGCAGTTTACTGGAACAGCAGCAGTTTCTGATGTCTTTGCAATGCCAGTTTCAACTAGAAAGGTACAATATTTTATATTCTGAGAAGCTGAGCTAGACCATTTTGGCAAAGAGTCTGTCTGCCTAGCAGGGGTGGGGTCGGTATTTACTATCTCTATAATGACTTCCTACTGCAAGTGGGTCAGGTAATTGAAATAACTCGCCAGGACTGCCCTTGGTGGAGCCTGGTGAAGTCTCGCCTGTAAGTAAATAGTCCCTGAGCTGCAGAGGGCACATCCTCTGTCATGTGATGTCTCAGCCGTTTCCTGGCACTGCCCCTCCAACAAATCCTTCACTTTATCTCCCTCCCATTGTAACGTTTCACTGCTGAGGCTGCTGCTGCTGCACTTTCTGCTGTCAGTGGCCTGCTGTGAACTGGAAAAATACCTGCTGAAAAGACCAGTCAAGTACTTCAGTGATACCAGAGGCTCCTCCTTTCTCTGCCTCCCTTATGGGCAACCATCCAGGTTGTCAGTTCTGCAAACTAAATGTTTCAGCATCCAGCCTGCACAAATAATCAGGTTTTAAACAAAAACTGCAGCAGAAGATCAGTTTGTTGCCTGCAATCAGTGCAGTGCTTGGCTTTCCCCCATGCTGAACCTTGATGCCTGATATTCAAACACATGGATTGTGTTCATTCTGGCATTTGGAGGGGGGTAAAAGGCACGGTGTGTGTGGTGGGAAATCCCAAACTCAGAAAGATTGCAGAGGTGCTGCCTTTCACAGTGGTTGAAATGCTAAAGGAAAGGTTTGAAGTGACTCAAATGGTAAGAAATAACTACCAGCTCCTATATGGCTCCTTGAGGCACTGTAGATAGAGAAGGATGCCCTGTCCCCTGGCAGATTAGGGCCAGGAGCTGGACTTTGATGATCCTTGTATGTCCTTTCCAGCTCAGGATATTGTCTGATTTTATGGAATCTCCTTTTGCACAAACAGCCTCACCTGAGGGCTGCTGGAGCAGGACACAGTGGTCATTGAAAGAACCTGCAAGCATTCATTATATTCATGTTTGCCAAAAACACAGTGGCATGGCTTGGTTCACCCTAAACACTTTGGGCAATGCTGTTCATATTGCACCAATAACTAAAACCAAGCAGCAAAACAAAAAGATGTTCAAAGACTCTTATGAACTCTGGGTTAGACTGATGCCTTCTGGGGAACAGCTTCATGGATCTTAGCATTTTAGAGTAGCTTTTTAAAACAAAATTTCTAAAAATTAACAACTCATTTCACAGATGAACCATGTTGTCATCAAAAGTTCTGCTTGTCTTTCCAAACAAGAACACTCCTGTAAAGAACAAATGAATGTAAATATAATTCCTAAATGTAGTTGAAAATTAATACTGCACCCATGTGTCACTTCAAAGTACTCTGTTTTGATCTTCCCAAGGTTATCCTGATGCCTCAAATTTTAACTTTTATATTTTTCAGATTCTGTGCTGCTTTAGTGTGTGGGTCTGAGCTTCACATGAGGGGATGGTGAGCTCTGCACAGAGCAGGGAGACAAAACAATTCCTGCTCCAGCTGGGCACCAAGGACTAAGGATCCAAATCTCAGCCCAAGAGCACAAACCCCGTGGGCTGCAGAGAGAAAAACAAGCAGGATGGGACTGCAGGGGCTGCAGCTGGGATTGGACACTGAACTGCAATGTGCACATGGAGCAGAGCTGAGCCGAGGGACAGACCCTGTGAGTGCTCGTGCATTTTGGGACCATTTGGGTTCATCTTGGGTGCAGCCCTGGCTGGGCTCTTGTGCTGCCCAAGGTGGATCCATTGAAGCCTCCCAATAAATCCCTACTTTATTCTTTGGCTCTGTCTAGTCTCTCTTCCAGGTCAGCCTTCACAAGGCATCAAACCCAGCAGTGAATGAGTCAGGACACAGAGGCGGAGCCAAGGGTGCAGCAGCGTGTGCCACCAGCTGAACGAACTGGGACTGGCAGAAGGAGAGAACACTTTGCTGCAAAACTTATCCTTCAAGCTCCTCCACCTCCCATCAAGGCCAAAGGCTCTCTCAGGGCCTGGCACACCCAACCTGACAGACCCAAGTCTGCACTGGGCAGACGTGAGGCACACGACGCACGCCCTGAGCGGGAAGGTGGCCCACAGGCCCCGGCACTTCTGAGCAGGGCTTTGAAAAGAGTTTCCAAGGGCCCTACACAAAAAGTCCTTTCAAAAGTGCTCCATAAAACACACCTGAAGAAAGCCCGTTAGCTGTGTGCTCTCTGTTTAGCTCAGGTGTTGTTTTTTCACACACAGAAACACATGTACAGACTTAGTGCACCATACAATGCCCCACTAAAGGCATCAAGTGCTGGTTATAACTCCATCCAAGATCAACAAGGTCTTTTTCCACAAGCAACCCTTTGTGTTTGGGAAGCCTTTGCCCTGAATTTTACTGTCTCCAAGTCAACCAACAGGTGCTCTGCAGTCAAACGTGAGCTATTTAAGTGCAACCTGCATAACAACTTCCCAGGCTGGCAGGCAACCTTAAATAGTAGTTAGGGATTGGAATGGGTAAGTTTTATGCAGACAAACAGAAACACTCCCAACAGGAAAAGAAGGGAGGGGGGAGCAGGAAAGGAAAATGATATCTTTCTTGGTTTCCATTTAGTTTTCTCTTTCATATGTTGGCATAACAACCCTCAAAGAAGAGAGCAAGGCTCCCAAAACCAGACGCCGTGATAATCTGACATTATACAGTGGTTGTTCTTAAAATTTTCCAGTTTTGTTTTGGAAAACAACATAATGTGCTGATTGTATATGGGATATTCTCTCCACTTGCACAGGGCACAGATAGCCTTTACTGCTAATTCTGAAAGTGTGTTATTTCAGACAAGTTGAGTTATATTTTTTCCCCCTGGAGAAAGCACTCTGGGGTAGGAAAAAGAAGAAGTGAAAAAGCCCTCTCAACTAGATGCCAGATGTGTCATTTTGCATTTTAAAGCCACACCACAATTTATAAGCCATGCAACTGCTCATTTGTGTACCTTCCCATATCAGATTTTTGTCTGTTTCTAGGATCAGTGCATTGTAAGGCATAAAATGTGATGTTTATCAAACAAAAATCATACCCATTTTAGATGCTACAAAATTACTCAAGGGTCAAATGCATCCCTGCCTAAGTGTTAAGTTTCCAGGCAGTGAGGGAATTGTATTATTCAGGAGATTGTGATATTCCTGTAAGTTTCATCATTTCTGCTTACTGGGATGTTTCAGTCTGCATAAAAACAAACTTTTACCTCTTCTCTGTCCTCTTCTTCCCCTACACAAGTACTGGCACTGTGGTTTCTTATATTTAATCATAACTATTGATATTTGTGGGGCATGGGCAGGAGAGACACAGAAGAGAGATGTTCCTGGGCACTGCTGGTTGTGAAACAAGAGAGAGCAGGGAGCAAATCAAACCCCTAAACAGCACCTATGGTTTTATAATAACAAAAAATAGATTTACTTTTATTGTGTGGTCTTAGCACAGGTTATAGCAGGCCTGATAACACACAGACACAGGAACAGCCACTCCAGTGAGAGCCAGCAGAGCTTCAAAAACCCAGAGCATCACGGACACAGCAGGAAGACAGACAGCACCTTTCCATGGGCAATGGGACATTTACAGACATGCAGATCTCTGCATGAGAACTGGCTCTGCCTGCACCAAAAAAAGGCATCTCCAGAGCACAACTGGCTGGAATTCGGTAGCACAGGGAGGGCAGATGAGATCACTTCACCTGGCCTGGCCTGCCAGACAGACCCAGCTCAGCTGGTGCAGTTTTGCTCTTTGAAGACTTGCTCAGTATCAGTTGTGCAAGAGTTTATCAGCGTGGGCTGCTTCCGTAGATACGGTCGTGACCCCTGAGAGTGGAAAAACTTGTTTTGTTGTAGTGGAGGGATTTTCCTGAACTAGGTTAAATAATATTTATTGAACTAAAGTCTGCAGTTGCTGGAGCAGCTCTGGATTGACAGGAGCATGGCTGAGATCTTTCATCTTTTCTTTCATCTGCTACAATGCAGAAAATCACTGTCTGTTCATTTTTGTACTCCTTCAACCTTCAAACCAGAAACTCCGAACTGGCTTTCTGTATCCCTTGATCCTTCAGACAGAGAAATTTGACAATTCCTCAAACCACAGGAAACTTAAAAATAGCACTTGTTCCAGCACAGCTACACATTGTTGTTCTTGAAATCTGGGTTAGAAAATACTTGCAGGGTCTGAAAGACAGAAGCCTGAAGCAGAATGTCTCTATTACTGCATTCCTTTGTTTAAACAATTAACCCTGTGAACAGAAGAGCTGCTAAAACTGGATTTGTTATTGATTTTGTCCCTTAAGACAAATTCCTACATGGATTCCCCAGTGTCTAGTGTTTTTTCTCTACTGCAATAGAAGGGGAGAGGGGGTAGCACAAGAAAGGAAGACATAACTTGGGCCTCTGCATTGTATTCAGCTTTTTATTTTCACTAAACACCTGGGATTTTATATTCAAGGCCTCTACACTTAATTGGAAGGACAGGTTGAAAGGTACTGGAGGAGAAATCCAGACATTTCTTTATCCTCTCTGCCCTTCAAGTTTGATCATCCAGGGAAGCAGGTGCTGGTGAGAGTTGTACAGGAACCCACTGGAGTATTCTACAAAGAACTTGTTAGGATTTCTTTGGGGAAAGCAGGACCCAGGCCTCACCTGGCACTAATCAATAGTCTCTACTGGATGCAGCAATTCTGTATTTATTTACCCTTCACCCTCACACTTCAGGGGGCAACCACGCTGTTTTCCCTGGAGGAGAAGTCTCTCAGACTGATCTAAACTCAGTTAACAGCTCCAGATTTGAGCTCAGATGGACGTGACTATGAAATGCTCCTCCCTGCTGAACATGCCCACTGAAGGGTTTATTAGCCCACACAGCAACTGCAGCTGCCTCCTTTGTCCTTATTGGAGCACACCTGGATTTAGGGATCTCCCTGGCCAGCAAAAAACCCACTGCTGGTACAGTCTAACAAAACAATGAAATTAGAGCAATAGTTGTGTCACCTTAATCCAGTACAGAGACCTACAACTTCTTACTATGCATTTACCTATTTCAAGCAGTCCCTCAGTATGATACACTTTTCTCTTGCCCCTTTTCACACACTAGTTGCAATATTTGAATGACTTCCACTGCATTTTCAATTCCAATCTTCTTGCGAAGAGCCTATGGTGTCTTGTTGATAATCCTTTTTAAGTACAGACTATCAACAAGGTCTGCAAGTGTCCAGACAGAAGTTATCCAGAGTGAAGAGGTTATGATTTGCAAATGATGTTTCTTTTCCACTGTAGGTGGATCAGTATGTGTTTAGGAAAAAAATCTGCTATCTTTTGGGAATGTTTCCAGTTAACTCCATGCTAACCACATTTGATTTGCTTGGTTCTGCTTCAGGAACTGAAAGTAGCTTGGCTCCAGCATTAAATAACCGAGCAGGAAATAGCAGAAGGTTTACCATGTACAGGCTGTCCAGGGGTGGAGCAACAGATTGAACTAAAAATACAGCAAAGATTGGTTTGGGGAGATTCAGATTGGTTCCAATTTAATTAGGAGATATACAAGCTCCCAGTGCTGGTGATTAAGTTATCTTCATTGAAAACACATTGACATATTCAAATGTCACCATGCTTCAAAAAGGGAAGTGTTGAGACATAAAAGCTTAATGCCCTAAAATGAGGATCTGGTCAAAAAATGCTTTCTGCACTTTGTCAGCCTGTCCCCAGGCCCTGCAGCAGGCAGGGTGCTTCCTCTGCCCCATCCCACACACAAGTAAAAGCATTAGAGGAAACTCTTGGCTGCAGCAGAAAATTCACTAATAGTGCTAATCTTATAAGTTTAAACATGGGTGGGGATGGTGTTGATTTTGAAACTGAGAGAAAGATAGGAATAGCTTCAACACTTAGATGAAAAGGGGCAAGCAAAATACAGTGCTGCAAATTCAATATAAATGTACAATATATTACAGATAGAAATTTTGATGAAATTTTGGCAAAGCAGTAGTCGCAAAGTCCTTAGCATCAGAGACTTTAGCACCAAAATATCCTTACAATCAATATTTAAAATCCTTCAAACTACTGTCCAATCTTTTAATTAAGTTGTTAGAAAGATGCAATAAAAGAGTTTATGCCCTCTGATGAACATTGAGGCAGCATGAGTGCAATCAGTGAATCAAGGCAAAACCAGCAGAAAGGAAACCCAGTTTCAGAGCTGGGTAGCAAAGTCTAGGTTTGTCCCTGTATTATTCTTTCAACAGCAAATATTTTACTGTCTCCCAATTGCATTCCGAACAAATGAATCCTACTCCAGATCTTAACTGGACTGCAAAAATAAAACCTCGACAGCTCATTTACTGATACAGTGAAATATCCAAACAAGTAATTTTATTGCTATGAAGGAAAATATAACAGCTGGAAAAATAAACCTCAAGCTGTCATTGAGAGTTTGGCTACAGAGACAAAAAAAAAACCAACAAAAAA